TTTACCAATAATTAAAGGACGTCTTTTATCCGTACCTGACATGTTGCAAACCAGCAGAATCGTAAGTCTTTGCATTTGTTTTTTACATCCATTAACCTTAAAAATCAAAAGTAGAATCTGGTAGAGCTCGATAATACAAACCAGTTTCGTCTGAATTATATACGTCATCAGGTGCATAATTAGACGATGCAATACAATTCTTTAAGTAATCTTCTGCAGCTTGAAAATCTGCATCTTTTTTTTCTCCACATGTTTTTTTAAAAACAATATTGTTTCTGTTTTTCCAACGAGTCAACCACCCGATCGTTGGACTAAAATTGTTTACACCTAATTGCAAAGCTAAATTTATAGATTTTTCTTGTAAAATAGAATTACTGACCGGTACATTTAAATTTCTAGCTTGCTGAAACCATCGTAATAAAGATTCTTCTACATCAACATTTTGTCCATTTCGTTTTCGTTTTCGAGAAAGAGGCTAATTTTGTTCTTCATGTTCAACAATTTCCTTACGATTTTTTAAAATTTTGTTTAACGTTGGTTGAGGAATTTTCAGAGCTAATACGGCTTCTCTTTGAGAACATTTATCCAATTTATCAAAACGAACGAGTATATCTTTTTTTCTTTTATAGTTAAATCATTTCGTTTGGTCGACATTTCAAAAAATACATCTGATCATGAACAATAAACCGAATAAACTAAATGACACAAGTACACGACGCCGCGACGTACAAAGATAATTGATTGACATAATGTACAACGATATACAATAATACTGATAAATTCAAAAATAAAATGGTTTTTATAAATTAATCAGTTTGAGGTACCATAAAAACGATAAGATTGTTCATAAAAGTGATTTAATTATCCGGTACTTAGTGAGTCTAATAAAGGGTCAATTTAACATTAGTAGCATACAATTTGGTTTGGGATTTTCATTTTTGATTCTAATAAACGGTTGATTCTATAAACCAGTGATCACATTAAGCGGAACTCACTGTAATACATTTAAAACAATGATGTACATATGTTGTCAATAATTATTAAAATATTAATATAAAAGAGATTGATATTCTGTATCTAGTTTTGATATCTTATCGTAATGAAAATTGTTTACATTTTTTTTTTGCAAAAAACCGGAACTTTAATATTAAAAATCTTAGGTCTTCGCTTGTTACACCTGCCGGCTCCACTCACAAACTCGAGTGTCACTGCGTGACACTTTTCGGGGGGATGGAGCTTCGCTCCAAGGGTAATTATAATCTAAGCCTAACCTAGTTTTTGTACAAACCTTGATACTGTTGCAAATGGGATTATGCTCAGTATGTAAACCTAAATGTATGTAAACTAAATGTATGTACCTTAATAGTATGTAAACCTTGCTACGCTAGTAAAACCTTGAATCGTCATTAATATACTATGGTAGTTTCCATCGTAATCAAACATTGTACAACATTATTTTATTATTTTAAATGTATTATATAAATTTTTGTTTGGTCGAAAAGGGAATTGACCTATTTAAATTTGGCCAAAAATTGAATCGACCGAAAAGGGAAGGATACGGTGATGGTCGAAAACGGACTCGCCCGAATGAATGATGAATATTTCAATTGTTATCATAAAATAATAAGATAAAAAAATATATAAGTATACAGTAATAATTAATTTTGTCCCATGGACATTGTTGACAAATAACTACTGCGAAGAAAAAACATTTTTGAATGATAGCTATTATTTATTATATTTATTTATGTTTAATGAATATTTAAACTTTAACAAGGATAAATGACCAATTAGTGCATTTTGTATTACAAATAATGTATTATTTTAAAATGACAAAAAACATCCATGTTTAGTAAACATATTTTGTGTGCTGAGATTTGTATCGTTTTTTAATTATAATTACTTATAAAAACAAAAACAAAATAAAATAAAATATTTTAAGTTAAATTGTTATAATTATTTTGTACTGTACTCGTATAAGACATTAACAGTATGACGTGTATTAATAATTACACCGACGGACTAAATGTATGGTAAATAAAATTTTTAATTTTTCGTTCAAAATATTTGCTCATTTATTTGAAAGCACTGTTTAATGTAGTAAAAATTTAGAACTTTTATGGATTTAAAAGTGTTTGGTGGTTATAGTATAAAGACCTTTTAAAAAATAATTTAAAATACTATAAAAAAAGTTTAACGTTAAACTCTTTCTACCTATTATATTTCGAACAGGACATGATTAATTAAGCTTAGAATAATATTTTTTCATAAATAGTTTGGGTGAGAGTATTTCTACCTATATTCATAGTAAATATAATGTTAATTTTAATTGTATACAGTGGCGTATTTACGGGGGGGGGGATATGGGGGATAGATCCCCCCCTTGACCTTTTTTTTTTTCCTAGGTAGCTATAAGTTGTCTCATTTTCTCTAATATTCTTAATATGATATTACTTTCAAGCATGTATGTTTTCTGTTTTCTTAATGTTCTAGTCGTGGTAATTGTATCGCTTTGATAGTCTGATATACTAATCGCCACTAATCGTTTATCGTTGGCGGCATGTACGACTATCAGGCATATACCTATATTATGGTGTACTGTATTTTGTACGTTTCTGCGAATTATTTTTCATGCAAGAGTGTTTATAATAAACCCGATAAGCAATCGGTAAACATAACAAAATGACCATGAAGATCGTGGATTAACCATAGGGCGGCCGGGCGGGTTTATTTTTAGAAAATTTGTTACTAGTAGATTTATGGCTAATGTATAGCTATATATATATATATATATATATTTTATCTTATGATATCGTGATTCGTTAAAAGTAGATATGTACGGTCATTGGACGTTGACGGATAGCGACGCCGCGCCATTCCGAGTACTGACTTACTGCCGAATTGACTATTGTTCGACTTTATTTTTTGCGTCTTGTAAGTTGTAACTGTGAAGTTTTAAGACAATATGAGTAATATTCAAAAACAAAAAAAAACTTTATTTTCTTATTTTAGTACAAATAAAAAAATTTGTTTGGAAAATGATGAGGTAATTATAAAGATTAATTCTTATTTTGCCTTGATCCACACTAACCTCAATAGGTAACAAGTTAGGGGATTTTAAAAATGTATATTATGTACGAATTAATGGGTGTTAGGATGTATTATTATATATTTCATCCCCCCCCCCCTAGAAAAATTCCTAAATACGCCACTGATTGTATATGGTTAATACGTGCATTAACAATGTATTGGAACTAGGGCTCGAAATGAACCTGGACGTACCGGAACACAGTTCCAGTTCACGACAAAATTTTTTTTAGCTTTCCGGTTCGTAAAAAAAATACGTTTATCGTTCCGGTTCAAACAAATTTTTAGTGTAACCATATTTTGATAAAATTTAAACATTTTGCAGAATTATTCATTGTAAAATATTTAATAAACGTCAAACGTCCGCGATGCATTAGTTCATTTATTGCTTATCTATACGATAATCGCCGTCCACCGATTGTGTATTTTAGCTTCATATACACAATACGTATATGAATTTTAAAAACTAAAAATAAAGCATTAGGTTGTTTGATTTGTAAAAATGTAACAAATTTTGGATTATCTGTTGTTGACATAACTCTTCGATTTTCCAAACCTTGTTCTAGTTTTTAGAATTATTTATAAGATTATAAAAACTCAAAGGTCTTTTGTTGATTTACCGAATGAAATAGATAATAGATTACCAAGTTTTAAATGGTATGAATATGGGAAACATTTTACACTCTGATAAAACGTCTGTGGATTTGGCACTCCGCATAACATCAGAGATGAAAAAAAATAATTTGTCAAAATATAATTTTAACTAAAACAGTATAAAATAGTAAGTACAACTTATTTAATAAAAAAGGCTTAGTATTTCAGGAAGGGGAAATTATAAATTTGATGGGTTAAAGCCCCTAATTCTATGGTATGTACTAAAAAAAAAAAAAGAATTCCTGTTCAGAAAATTTTTCATTTCAAGCACTGATTGGACCTTGTTTCTTGGAAAACCTAGTAAAATTAAAATGTATCAAACATATATTATATTTTACATTATTTATTATTTATTATTTATATATTATATTTTATATTTTATGTGTAACCATAGTTTATGTTAAGACAAAATCATCAAAAGCGTTTTAACTGAAACATGTTTTTTAAATATATATATTATAGGAATGAAGTAGTTAGCCAACGATAACCTATTTAAAATTATCTCGTTATACGTGAAGCATGATTGTATTAGTATAATCATTCATCATTATTGTTTATAATATTATAAAACAAGATATTATTCCAATTACATTTTTTCATATTTTTTACGAACATTAAGAAATTTCATCCCCTCATTGATAATAAAAATAAGAACACAATTTATTTGTCCTTACTAACTCGGGATACATCGCAATTAGTAAATTGCGGGGAATTGATAACAATGAAAATACAAATGTATTTTAAATTTAAATTTACTGAAAACTATACACTTTTTTGAATAATAATTTATGAATAATATCTTTGTAAAAAATGTTGTTCCATATTTAATTATAAACAGTTACTGTTTTATTATTATAGTACAGGACAGTTTCTTTGACAAAATTATCACAATTGTTACATCAGTACTGATTTATAAGAATGTAGTACTTATATAATAATTATCATATTATTATTGTATGAATAAAACATATTTTATTTATTTATCATGACATAAAGTGTAATATATTACAATAATTAATAAAAACGTAAATATGAATATTGAATATAGCTGTTACATTGCCAATGTATTATTTAAAATATTTGTGAGGGATTTATACTTGAAAATAAACCCATAGCTTAATATTAATATTCATAACATACTTGAGATGACAACATGAAATATAGTTGTATTATATCATAAAATATTTTGGATGTTGAAAATTTTATTTTATATTTACATTTGTGATTAATTAATTTACTATAGTAAAAATTAATCTCAGTTGTACACAAAACATATTCACAAAATAAATTATAGAAAAAAAAAGTGTCTAAAATTACATTATTTTCTTATTATCTCTTGAGCCAAAATAATACCCGCTAAATTCAGGTTTCTTAACCATAGAATATGGTTTTTTTCGTTTGGATTCGTGTATATCTTGATCTTCGTCCTCAGCATTTTGAGGACTTTCTTCACTTTCCTGTTGATACTGAGGCTGTTCAACCGGTTCTTCTTCACCTTCTGGTTCACCTTCTTCTCCGTCTTCTTGGGGTGATACGTTTTCGTATTCAACTGCCTCACCGCTTTGTTCTTCTGGTCTTTCGTCGACCTCTTCCTCTACCGGAATTTCTGTAGTTGTCGTTGTTGTCGTTGTGATTCTTCTTCTCTTCTAAAATGAAAGCATAAAAACAATATATAAATAAAACTCATGGAAAAATCATAATATTCTAATATTCTATACAAACCTCTTTTTTTCTCGGCCTTAATATTTTTGGACAGTCGGGCTTCTTTGGCTCTTCAGTAGGGACGGCTTTAACTGGTTCTTTACTAGGAAATTTAAATTTAAACCTATGGTTAACGGTAGGACTGAATACATTTTTGAACAAATCTTTTGTAGAACTCCCTTTAAATCCAAATTTACCAATAGATTCTTCGGCAACACCATCCTTAACTTTTTTTTCCAAATAAACAGGACCATTGATCAAATCTGTTTTCGTGTCTTCTTCATTTTTCACTTTTATAACTTGCATCCATTTTCCATGTCCAGTATCTGGATTAATAACGTATATCAATGAACCTTTTTTATCTAATTGTGATCGCTGAACCTCGTTGGTGCTGTTAGCTACACTATCGTTATAATTTATTATTTTAGTTTTGCTATCTCCGAATGCTATTGCTGGTAAAAACTTTGGTGTCGTCTCATATTTAGGTGTAGTAGAAAATGCTACATTAATTTCCTCTGGTAATGATTCCGACTTTTCTTGATCGGTTACTAAATATTTACTGCTGAATACCTGACTACTTCTACTGTGAAATGGAGGATTGTGTACTACTCTTTTTACCCTAACTCGCGGCCGTTCTGTATGATAATAATAGCGTGGCTCCTTTCTTCTTACATCCACATTGACAGAAATATGATCTCTTTTATCTCGAAAACTTGTCCCGTTTTTTGGCGTGTACATTCTAATCCTTGCAGTAGACGAGGATATACTCACATTTGTATCGGCACTAATACTAAGTTTTCTTTGTTTCGGTTTTTGTAAGTCTACACCTTTCATATTTCTTTTAGTTCTTCTGTAATTTTGCGATTGATATCTCTTTACTCTTTCGCCACTATTTTTATCAACTACTGTTGTAGTTTTAAGTTTGTCTGATGGTGTCATTTTAATATTGAAAAAATTATGAACGATTGGTGCAACCAAAACATCATCGTCATCGATAAAAAAAGAAGTAATAGGATTAAGTACATCAAGTAAATCAGGCTCATTTGATTCTTCATTAATTTTCACCTTCTTCAAAATTTTTTTCACCCTGGGTTTCTTTAATTTTTGATATTTTTTTTGCGTTTTCGTTATTTGCGGTGGCGGAAATAGACCTAAGATTTTGTTATCGGTAAAATGGTGTTCTTGAATGGTTGACTCGGTTTTTGTTGGTATAGGGTGCTGTATTGAATATTTTAGTATATGTTCATCATTTGAAGAAACTTCCGAATCATTTTCTTCAACATTTATTTTTGAATCGTTAGTAGAGACTACTGCCGAAGATTTTGTAGGAAAAGTTAAAATTATTGGTTCCGGAATTATTGATTCCATATCGTTTTTCTTATGGTTGGCGGGTAAACTTTTATTTTCTGATCTGTAAAATATGAATTCAATTAAATATAATAAATTTCCATGCAGTGGTATTATATTTTATAATTTACCTTCGATTTCGTTTATCGTTATTAGGAAACCAATGAGGAGATATTAGCTCATCGGCAAAATTCCAGTGGACATGTGGCTTTCCTGGTTGCATTTTATCCTCTTTTTTTTCTGAAGGTTTCTTAACAGAGAATAATACTTCTGGAAACCCAACATCTTTTTCTTTGAAAATCGGATTGTCTAGAGGATCACTTCCAAAAAATTTCGTTTTAAAGCATCCGATTTTATCACCAAGAGCGTTTACTCTAACAGTATTATTAGAAGGTTCACCCTTCCATTCACCGTCATCAGTTCTTTCTGGTAAAATATTAGTAGGTGCAGATATCTCATTACATTGAACATTATCTGTAGAAGCATAGAATTCCATGCCCCCAGCAGTTTTTCTTGGTGTCAACAGTGGATTCGTTGCATACCTTATTGCCGATTCTTTTGGGGCGTTTTTATAGTGGGAATATACAACAGTATCGATAGGAATTTCAGTTGTAGTTCCACTTGAAGCAATATTAATTAATTCCAAATCCCTTCGTGTTCTTCTTGGATAGTTATCGTTAAGAAGTTTGGCCAAATTATTCACCCGTTCATTATATTCTAAAGGAAGTGGACGATAAGAACCTGATTTATGGAGTCCTGAAAAATGTGCCAAAGTTAAATTTTCAACATGTCGGGTATTTTCATCCTCAGATTTATCTCGACCCCTGTGTCCTTCTGACATATTCTTTATTGAGTCCTTTGGCAAATGTGGATGTCTATTATTATTCCAATATACACTTTTATTATTCAATTTTGGACTTTGTGTCGTTGCTTCAACTTTGACTCCACTATATCGGCTTCCAGATGGAAAATGATCATCGTGATATACATATGAATAAGGATTATTCATTTTTACAGACTTTTCATATGGTATTAATCTATATATGGAAGAAGGATTAGTACTAGTAGTACCAGTACTTTCGGGTCGTTTATTAATTTCAAATTTCGGAAAACTTTCAACTTTATTCAATTTAGGAAAATTATCTGCTAATAATTGAGTAGTTTGGTCCCTAGTATTAGAATGATTTTCCCAGCTTTCAGTGGTCTCAACTGGTTGTTTATGAACAATGTTGGGCCTATTATTGAATTTTGAATATTCAGTAAGACGTGCACTTTCGTGTTTTATAATACGTGGAGGGCTTTCATTTAATTCACTATTGAAGTGACCTTTGTTGGTATTGCTTGGTGGTCTTTGTACATAATGATTATCATCTCTAATTGGATGTTTAACATTTTGATAGTTTGGATAAACTTCGTACTTTGGATAAATATGTAGACTTGGATCTCCTCTTGAATCAACATTATAATTATTTTTTTTGAGTCGTGTTATAAATGGAGCGTCATAACTTTTAGTGGGATTAAAATTTTGAATACTTGTAGTTGTAAATCGAGGACCTACATTTCCAAAGTTTCCTAATCCTATTTCGACGTCTCTATGACTTTTATATTTCTGCTCTCGATATGGCTCGGATTTTAAATTACTTTTATAACTTTCTAAAGGTCCCGATGAAACGGGTTTATTTTTTTGTCGTTGATTAGTGGCACTTCCATCATGTTTAATACTATGAGTTACCTCTATCTTAAGTGGTGTTGTTGATTCTTTGTATTTATTATTTGAAGGTAAATGTATGCTGTCATGCGATAAGGTCTCTACGGGTGACTTGATTTTTTTAAATTTTGGATTTATGGCACTTCCATCATAATTAGTCTGGGGAATAAACTCATAATTTGAATGTAATGGGCTCTTTGGATTGTCATCATTAACATCCGAATTTTGGAGTTTTGGTCTTAGTTTTCTACTTGGCTTGTTTGATGACTCGGGTGCCAACAAATCAGTCGGAAATATATACTGATATGGTGTATCATGATTTATTGTGTACCCATACTTTGTAGTGTGACCATTTTGCTCGTATAGCTCGGAGTTCATTTTTGATTTCACTGGTTTTTTAATCTCAGGCTGTAAATTCTTATAATTTGTCGGTGGTGATATCGGTATCCATGGAGAATTATCATAACTTGCTATCGCATCCGTTTGAGTGTTTTTTTCATATAAAACTTGAGGTTTTTGTGTATTATTCTCTTGACGTTTTCTCGGCCTAGTTCTAGTTCTGTTTACTTTTTGTTCGTTTTTAATCTGTTTTGTCGTCGTATGACGAAGGTTATCATACCTCATAATTGGTCTGTAAGTCGTTGGTTCTACATTATCTTTAGTTTTACTAACACTAGACACTCTTCTAGACTCTGCTCCTTCTTTTTTACCATCTCTTTTTTCAACTTCGGTAAAGTTTTGTACAACGATTGTTTTACCTCCATCAAACTTCGTATAGTTTCCCGAAGATTTTTCACTTATTGGGTTGCTATCATTAACGGTTACTTTTCTTTTGTCACCATCGTCTTCATATCTAGTTTTCTTACCTGTGGTCGTTTTAAATCGACTCCAAGTTCCGCGACCAGATGGTGCAATTGATGCTACGCTGTCTTTAGTTTCTTCGGTATAAAGTGAAGAATTATTTGGTCCTAAAAATTCTATGCTTTGATTATCCTTCACTTCTTCTTCGACCTTTAGCTTTTTTGAACCCCCGTGGTCATATGCAGCATCTTCGTAGCCTTGTTCTTCGTACACCTGTAAGAATTAAAAATATTAATAATAGTATTAACTTTCTATTTTATTTAAATAGCGTGTGTGTAGTAGTGCGTGTGGAATTCACAAAATCGATCGATTTCCCCCCTATTGTTCACGTGAATAATATGCAGTTGACATTAATTTGATTTTCATTTATGTCAATAGGATACGCCATTGTCCACCAATTTTTCACACAGACCGGTATATTAATATTATAATATACTCTGCCCACAACTATAATTTATAAGCAACAAATGAAGCAACAATGTTTTGATGTAAATATCACTTTATATTAGAATATTTATTAAAAAAATAAAAAATATCTCTAATCTGTACTGATAAACAATTAACCGTTCTAAAAACTATATACAAGAGCTTTATATGATATTATTTAAAATTTGAATGAATAGTATTAAGTATAGTATAGTCTATATTTTGAGATACAATACGGAAGGCCTTGAGTACAATTATGGGGAAACAAAATAAAATAATCGTGAAATCGAATGTGATGTGGTTTTAACTTCATAATTACGCGGTTTTCGACTTGTCATATATGATAACAAAAAGTAACGTTCTCAAAAAATCATATATTTATCTTATAAAATTAGATAGTTTTAAATATAATAGACATTGTCAGTTAAATCGCATTGTACGGTCTATATTGTACCTTATTTTTAAAAAAAAATATGTAACAAACACTCATGTCATGTTATATTTTTAATAAAATCCATTCAATGAGTTAATAAATCATATATAAAAAATAAATTGTATTATTTCTTGTTTATTAAATAATATTAACTATGAGTACACTTGTACATTATAGTTAACTTAATACGATGATCTATATTAAGATATCTAATATTAAACACATTGATGTATATAAAAAAATCGTAATATAAAATAAAATATATAATTTAATATATATTAGAATCAATAAAATGTTATAAAATTATAATATTAAAATAGCTAATTCAAACTAATTTAAACTCTAAATAAATTAAAATTTTTTAATACAAATTTATATGTTGATGTAAGAACAAAAATCTTGTAGTTATAATATTATTAAGAAATGTGAATATTATTTATTTTTAATTATTATCAAAGCACTTTTTAGTAACTAATTTCACACGTTTCAATACACGATTCATTTGATATATTTGTAAATAGTATATAGGTAATTAAAACAACTTAAGTAATATATTGTGTTTACTTATGGTCATAGGCGGACATTTGGTTGAATTTGGTTGGGGGGGGGGCTATCATAATTCAATGTAAAATAACCTGCAGGGAATTCGCCCCCACACCCCTTTCCCATACACAAGTAAAACGAATTACTATTAAAAATATAGATATATTTTAGTTTTATTAAAAAAAAAAACACTAAATAACGTATATTTAAAAATAATTAGTATTTTATTTTATTGACAAATATCTATTTGTATCAGCAAAGATATTCAAAATATCATCGCTTTTTAAATTTTTCGATACATCTTTTTCAATATATAATATTTAAAAATCGCTGAACCTATCTTGAATCAACGATGTCTTTAGTCAAGTTTTTATTTTTTTCATTGCACTGAAATTTCTTTCGCAAGTAGTCGAACTAATTGGTACTATTAATACTACTGTAAATAGTTTTTATTATTTTTAATTTTACGATTTTCAAAAAAACTAACAGATAATTATAAATTATAATAAATTATAAAAACAACGAATAAAATTTCTCACAAAGTTTCGATTTTGGAGGGCTAAGGCCCGACCTGAATTTCGCCTATGTTTATGATTATCGTTTACGTAAATTTACAAATTTACAAAATTTCACAAATTTCTTAAAATGTGTGCACTGATCAAAAACTTTTGTACTCTACCTAACCTAACATTAGGGATATTAAATTGGTATTCAAAAGAATATAAGGAATTCTTATAAACTTAATTTTGTGCCAACATATTTAAAATATTCTGTTACAAATTTATTTGATTAATTTACTATTGTCTGTCTTATTGAATAATAATACTATTCTACAAACAACTTAAGATATATATATATATACATATATATATATATATATATAGTTCAACAATCTTTGTGTTACATTAAAATAGTGCTTTTAAACTATTTTACTAATCTAAAATTATATATTTTGTTACTGAATAATCTTAAATTAATATATTTATCTGTAGTTGGTAGTAAGCATTATTATCACGTAGAAAAATGATATTAAATTTAGCACATCGATTTGATTTGGAAAATACTGAGACAAACTTAGGGTTGTTTCTAAAATCATCGTCTAACCATTAATATACTATACAATATATAACTATAGAAAATTACCATTATATTCAACTATATATTTATCGTTCACATATTATTATTCAACAACTATAATGGTATTTAAATTGTATAAATAATTTTTCAAATTCAATCGCTTATAATTTATCATTGATGAATAATTTTAATTAAGAATAAGAAAAAAATCAATGATAAAAGAAGTTTTTTGATAATTATAAAATATTATTGATATGAAGACACTTTAAAATTGATTTATCAGATGCTAGAGCTCAAATATTATAAGCTTCGTAATGTTAATGAAATTGATTTAAAAATAAATAAGTCATATCTCTTGGCCCGTATATTCTACAGATTTGAAATTTTCCGTAAATAAAAAAAAAAGTTCTACCAAAAAGATATCGTAGTTTAATAAATTTAAAAATTCCGATATTTGTTTGTGAACTTACTTCTTGTGTCTTTTTGTGCGTCACGACTTCCCTGAGTCTCGGTGCATTCGCCACCTCCTCCGAAGTGGCTGCTTCTTCCATCGCAGCCTCTTGAGGTAGCCTTTTAACAGCATCGTACCTTCTGACCTGTACGTAAGTCTGCTGAGGCACAAAATCCAACTTCACACTAGGCGGTGGCGTTCCCAAGTCGCCGACGATCTGAACTCGGGTGGGCACGTCTTTCGGTAATTCGTGTTCGGACACATAGTTGCGGACTCCATACTCGTCGCCATCATGAGGTTTATTGTCATAACTCTCGGGTAATACTGTGTGCACGTTTGACGACAGAGCGACGGGACATATTACGCACAACACAAGGCGTATCAGTAGCATGTTATGTCGGCATGTCAGAAGCGTTGTCGCGATACTAAATCACTTTTACTAACTCGGAGCGGTCGTCCGGGGAAACCTTTCTCCGGAGGCGATTGAAGGGAAACTGAGAAAAAACATACAATGATAAAAAACAAATAAACATTGATCAATGTGGAAAATTCGAGCCTCCGGAACTATTGGTTGGTATGCGGTTATAAGATTATCGTCCGGTTCGTTAGCCGCAAGTGAAAACAATTAAAACCATGACAAAAAAAATAAAAAATAAAATAAAATATAAATAATAAAATAATAAAGTAAAGAAAGAAGGAATAATAACCATTGTTGTAAAATGATCAACCAACGACAAATAAATGTATATGTATATGCTTTTAACTATATAGATAATAATGATTTAACAGCGAACATATGAAAATCAAATTTATCTAATAAATTGGTACCTAATTAAAAATATTGTCATAGAACTTATACCGCTAGTATGAAAGGCTGTGCTAACCAAGTGTACAAGAAGTTCAAATAATTTTGGCCAAAAATTTAGGCTGGCTTTATAAATCAAATTTCAGAAAAAAAATATCATAATAATTACTTATACTATAATAATACTATAATAATTTACTTATTTTAAACATAATACAAAACATGTCTTAAACAATAACTAAAAATAATTTTAATAACATTTTTGTAGTTAAGCAAAACTCTGGACAGTTTTCTGATATGAAATTTGGGGAGAGGGAGCAGCAAATTGATTTGTATAAATATAATATAGACGAACAAACTGGTCAGTGCGGGCCTGCTGGTATGTTTGATTTTCCTTTTAAATATTTCAAAAAGTTGATAAACGATATTACCGCATCATCAATCTTATCCATTTGCAAACATTATTCAATTGTTTCATTTGTTAATAAATCATTAAAAGTTATCTTTTGAATCACTAACAATTTTTTTTTTCTTTTTTACAGATCAAAATACACTAAAATCCGCTTATTACGATACCGTACACAACGATATTCTGGATAAAACTATTCCTAGTCATGTATTTGATTGGTTTTATATCTCACATATGTAATGGTTTCGTCATCCGGATAAAACGATCTGATTCTTTAGGTCCCTTAAAGGATTCTACTGTACCTTGTTCTAATTAATTCCCTAAGATTTTTATTAACAAAATTTAAAATGTACACTGATTATTCTGAATTAAAATTGCATCCGTAGATTTTCAAATAATGATAAGGCAATCATCAAAAAAAAAAAAAAAATGGTCATTAATATAATTATTTTCTCTCCTATTTATAAATCATGTTACTTCTTGGTATATATTTGTAAAAATTATGATAGATAATAATTTGTGTTAATCCAGGATTCATCAATCTCAAATCCATCCTTAAAATGAATTTATTTACAACTAATAGCAATATATTTATAATGAAAGAGTGTTCCATCTAATCACCCAAAATTTAAGTTACCTCGATTTTATATGATTATATTTTAATTTATAACGTTAATAAGCAATAAAGTGTAAAACAATGTATTCTATATAAAGACTAAACTTAAAATGTTAAAAACTTAAAAAACTTAAACTATAATGAAAAATATATTATTGATTGAATATACATTGTATATACATAAAATGTTTTCTACTAGCGAATTCGTTACTGAAATATTAGACTGACGGTCTGCAGTTTTTTTTTATGACCATTTTTATATATTATAAAGGTAACTAATAATTGAGTTATCCGAGTACCTACATTCAATAATATTTCTCGTCATTATTTGTCTCAAAAAATCGTCCTAGATTATTTAATTTTAGTCATCCTGAATAATTTTGTCAATAATGTATTGACTGTACGTGCGTAATAAGATGGTTAATATTTTTTTGACGTAAAAATATGAAGTATGAACTACGGTGACCTATAGACAGCGTTTGTTCAAAAATAGGCCAATATATTCAATTGTTAGTTGACACTGATGGCTACAATTATTTTCTATAATTGGAAAATTTTTGTATTAAATTTCAAAATACACTTAAGCTATACAAATTAACACAGTAATAAGTTTCCATTAAATTGTATTCTTCCTAGGGAGGACTACTTCTTGATATTTTCGATGAAACGCTAGAGTGGGAAAGAATTCAATCAAATTATAAATTATTTTTCTTTACAAAAAAAAAAAATAACAATTATTTGTTATGGTATCTATGAGTACAGACCAAAATGTGTGTTTGATACTCATTCAAGTAATTTTACTAATAAATCGCTTGTTTTTTTAAAACAGTGCGTTATTAAACAATTGTATACACTATGGATCATTTGCCATCGAAAACTATTCTGCTTCCAAATTTACATTGTGTTCATTTTATCAAATTCTATACTGGATGTACCACATTTCATTGATTATTTAAAAATTTAATTGATCCGCAATATAATTACACAACATATGTTAACTCAAGTCTAGAAATTAACAAGTTAATAAATTAAAAGTTAAGTTAATTTAACTTATTTCATTACAGATTAATTTTAAACTAACGTATTATTTTTCATTCATCTCAATTAAGTTAATTTTGATTTTCAAGACCAGAAAAATATTTTTGTAAAATACCGCATTCGATAACAAACTCATGGAATTTAGAAAAATATAAAAATAAAAATTTTAAATAATTTTTAGATAACACCATAATATTTATCACGATATTAACCATTAAATAGGGGTCCCGCTGGTCTCAGAAAAAGTTTTAAACAACCGTTTTAAAACTTAAGACTATTAAATAAAAATAGCCATGCCACCCATGAATTACATTACCATTGTCATGAAAAGTGGGCGTAAATGAATATTACAAAAATAGGTACATATTATCATTGAATAAATAATTTTAATAGTAATTGTACTCTATTATTATTAGAATTATTCCATAATCTATGATATTATTAAATATTATTGAACAAGAACAGAAATTCAATAGTTGATCAACATTTTGAAATGACTCTTTTATTGAGACTCAATAGGTATTTTGATTAACCTGTCCATTGTATTATTTTATTTGTTTGGATTTTAATAAAGTTAAATAATATTATATATTTATTTAAATGTTTTGTATCTACTGTATACATTTATTGCCTGTATAATTTTATGGTTACACTTTCAGCTGCAGTACTTAATTATTTTTAGTATTCATACTGTAATTGAACATTAAAAAGAATACTTTTTTAACTTATATTTATCATGTATGATTTGTATGAAAAATAAATAATAACAAACCATACATAAATTACCATAAATTTGACATTTGAGTGCTTAAAAACAATCCCAATGAAGAAATGTAAATTTTTCTGCATTTTCATTATCGTTAATGTTAAATAAGATCTATTGTAAATTATTAATATATATACATCACTTGTATCTGTGTTTAATGTAAATGTTTTTTTTTTTTTTTTTGTAATTAACTTAACTTATTAATTGAAGTTAAGTTAAATTAATGATATTTTTTAACTTAATTGATGTAATTTTTATGTGCATTAACTTAATTATCAACTTAATTGAACATGAACTCAATTAACTTAACTTAACTGAGTTAACAAATATTATTAACTTGCCAGCCTTGCATTAACTATTCAACTTACACTTTAATTTGTATAATGTGTCGTTTTATTAAGCACTGTAAGAGCTCATTTTATTTTAGCATAATCGTACCTTAAAACACTGAAAAATTATTTATCCAAGCAATGGTTGATTTAAAATTAATCTACTTATAGTTTTCAATTGGTTTGTATGAAAAAAATAATTTCTATAAAATGTTCTTTGTAATAATTTCTAGTATGTTTTCTGTCATTTTTTTTTTTCGTTATGGGTAACACTAACGAACGCGATTATAGAATTGTACCAATACATTCCACAGCTCTCTATATAAACCGTATGATTCTTGTTATAGAAAATATTAGGATATTTAAGCATAAAATGTAATAATAATATTTTTTAATCATTACCAAAACTATATCAGTATAATAGTATCCACATGTGTATTGTACATTAAAATACAACATAACGGTGATAGTGAAAATTTCATACATCATATTACGGGAAAACGAACATTTAATTCGTTTGTCATTGTATAGAAATCCGGAAATAGTTTTTATGTTCATCCGAAATTGCATTTTGTGATATTTATTTGGAAAACTAAGTCTGTCATTAGTTTGACATTGAAACATTTAAGAAATCGAATATTTTCTAACTTATGGAAAATGGGTACCGATGAATTTTAAAGACGAATAGTTACTTTATAAGCATAATCGTACATTGCACGAAGAAAAATAAAATTATCTTACCGTAAAATTAAATGTATTTGATGAAATGTAAATCAGTTTTGACGAAAAATCATTCTTATTACTATAAAATGTTTTTAGTTTTTCTTTTAATATAGGACAAAATTAATTATTAGTTATTATTTATATAATATAAAACAAAATGTTTACGTGTATTTTATAAAACTATAGAATAGAACTAAACAGTAAAAATAAAACACATTAGAGTTTCGTAACCAAAATCATTAATTCAAAGGTTTTTGAAAATACAAGTTATTAACTGTTATTGATAAGGTACGACAGTGGCGTATTCAAGGGGGGGATTCAAATCTCTCTAAAACTCTAGCCCTTTTTTTAAATGTTATAATATAATGTTCTTAGCGTGAGGGCGATAGAAACGTAAAAAATAAATAATGATTTGTTTGCAAATGATTCCCCTCATACAAATTTTATATATACACCACTGATATACGAGTATGAAATATAATAATAATTATAATTCATAATATTATGAGAGTCATCTGCTACTAAAAATTTGAGTGATATTAATGTTATTAATCCATATATATTTTATTACTGTAATAAATTTACAGTATACATTGTACACATTGTGTACATTTCTATAAAAAAATATACATTTTATCGTTATATATGGTAGTAAATTGTTTGATGTATATATTCAATTTAATTTACAATGAAAAATACTAAAAAAAAAATCTTATTTTTCGTTGCTAGTTGCTATTAGATAAATTGTACTCACCTCTGTTGTATAATCGTATACGGTATCGTGGCAGTTTATCCT